CAGCATGGTATAGGAGTGCAGACAGGACACTAAACAGCTGGAATGACTTTTTAATGATACAGCATTTTAATAACCAAAAGCTCTATCCACTGGACAATACATTTGATCACGTTTAAATGGCAGCACACTTTCTAGGCAAAAGACAATTTTTAGCTTCATTTCTTCAAGCTTCTCACCCTTCAGTCTCTCCTAATCCCTCCTCCAGTCTAGGTGGCTTGACAAACAGAAAGAAACAGTCAAAAACCAGTTCACATGCTATTTGTCAGACTAGCATAACACCACAAAACCTTTAGTAGCACAACCTCATTCTAAGAACTTTGAAGGATTAAACAATTTACTGGGTAACTACCTTCTAAAACTAGGAAGAAAAACATGAGTCAGATCACTGCTTTACAAGTAGTGCATGACCACAGAATCTGCAATCTGATCTTGTTACAGAAGTGCATACAGTAATCTACAGCAAAGCAAGCTTAACACTCCCTCCTCCTCCCCATCAGCTTCCAGAGTTACCTTAAAGTCTGCCTTAAGTACCTCTGAAGCATTTATCTCAAATCTCAGTGGGTTAACAACTCAGTCCTAGAGAGTAAGAATACATACTGCTGACTCAGTGATGAAACCCCCAGCTAACCTGCTTATCCCAGGTCTCACCGTACCATCTCTGTCACCTTCTCAGGCACCCCAGTTTCAAGTAGTCAGCAAGTCTTGAACAGTTTCCTTTTCAATTCAGTTGTGCAGTTAAATATAAATCTCTGCACACTGCAAACTGAACACAGCGCCAACACACACAGGGTTGTTTTATCTGCTCCAGAATTTTCGGGAAGACAGATTGCATAACATAGTATACTTTATATTATAACTCATTAGAGAATTCTTTATTAGTGAAGGTTTTTACCTCAAAAGTCTTCATGACTGCCAAAAAGCAAAGCAGGTATATGTAATCTTTCTTTACTGAGCAGATTGCAAATCCTCATGCCTCAAAGTCTCTGCCAGCAATAACCCTCCAAAGATTTATTATTTTTCATGAAACAAATAGCTTTACATTATTGCACCATGATGTCTTTTGCACTTATGGTACCCTGCTGCAACTTCACCTAAATTATCTTGAACAATAGTTCTACTTTAAGTTTAAAAGAAGATTAAAAACATCTTTTCTCCAAAATCAAAGCATATTCTTCAGTGAAATGATGGAGAACCAGTTGTACCCTACACCTTTCTCCACTTCATACTTGCACAAGTATAAAGGAGTTAAGAGTGACACCCTCTTCACCCAGTTAGCACTTCAGTTATTTCCATTTTCATTTATGTACCTCATATAATAGAGCAGCCACCTTCAGGTTCAGATATCTGCACTTAGATAACCATAACAGAGGTGCCTGTGCTCCCTCTGCCATCAAAATGGATCTATGAGATCTGTCAAGCACAGCCAAAAGGAGCCTCCACCACTGCTTAGGTGATCCTATGCAGGAAACCACATAAGGTGGTGAGCTGATCAGTTCTGTACATCCACTGACCTAAATTCATATGCCTGGATCTGGAACTTAATGTTACTCCCTGTCTGTTAAAAAACTATTCCAGAGAATCTGGGAGACAAAAAAACAAACTGAAAATCTTCAAACTTTGAAATCTGAACACACATCTGCCTAAAATATTTCACTTAAAGAAAAAAGAACCCAAGACAATAGAGCTAAAGAGAACTACTTCAACCCCTTCTTTATTGGATAACAGTCACGGCAAATTTATTTTGTCAAAAGTTATGCTTAGCATACAAGAATTATACTTTAATATTATAATTTAATACTCTGTATTTGATTAAATACACTGAAAACTACACCTGAAAGCAGCAGTGTACAGGAACACAATATACCCTTTATTATAAGCTACACAAAGATAATTCTAGGGGTTTTTTTTTCCTATTTCTGGAAATGTTAAAACAAAAAGACTACATTTCTGTCTTCAGAATCCCTTATTTGTACACTATTGATATCCAATAGAGTCTCAGATAAGATTTCAAACAACAAAACAAGAAATTCGGTCAAATATCAAACACTCTTCTAGTGTCCCTGAAACAACTCAGTGTAACAAGTGATGTAGAAACAGTACCACAAACTGATTTTGTCAAGCAATTCTCAGAACAATAATGAGTGTAGCTGAAAAAAAAAAGTTAAAAGTAATGTTCAGCCAACTTGTAAATTAAAAACTACTCCAGTGTGCTCTTGGTGGATTTGATTATCCATTTGTTGAACACTTCACCTTTTAAACTGCTTAAATGCTTAAAAGATCTTTGACCAAGTCAATGCCAGCCTACTGAAATACTGCTAACTGATCAGTTGATCAACATAAAACACAGTGGAACTTAAACTCCCTAAACAGACCAAAAATCAGAACTTTTCTCACCTTATGGGAAAAATTTCCCAACTTCCCAATAAAAACTGTTCAGATCTTTATCACAACAAAGTCTGTACTGAAATACAGAAAGCATAATTTCCAACCTATAAGCTTGGTATATGGAGTCTAAGCAGCATAAATACTGAAGAGCTTCTAAAACCTTCCTGAATAGTCAACACTTCAATCTGGGCAAGTGCTAGAGCTTTGCAGCTCTGTGTACTGGAAGCTAGGTTTAACCCTAAACTGATGTTTGCAGACTAGAATCTGTTTCCAAATGAAAATATACCAGCAATTTTTATTTAAAACATCTAGTATGAAGTACAAACTTTTAGTAATTCGATAAAAAACATTTTCCTGAACACATCTGACAAACACTTGCCTACTATACATCCCCCTTTTTCAACTTGCTCTCTCCAGGGGGGAGACATTTCCTCTAGAATCAGTACTCTTGTCAGTACCTTTTGGTTATCCACTGAGGTATAAAAGATGCTTTTAAACACCAAAGTGTTAAGAGATACTACCTGCAAAGATACAGAGGAAAAGCACGGGGAGAGAAATGTAGCTTTCCTTGCTCAGCAAAGATGAGGATTACATTTCTCAGTAATTCATTCACATTTTCCTTTCCTACGTATAAAATACTACAGCACTATTTATTTTGTCCGAGTTATGTACAAATAGAAAAGTTCTATCAATATTGCTTATTTAACTTTTTTCTGAAAGCCACAGCTTTTCATGCTGGACCCACCTGGAGTTCTAGAAAGAAGGAACTTTGTAGGTTTAAATACCAAGTCTTTCATAAAATCCTCTATAGATGCCACTTCAAAATGCAACTGCAGTTGACTACATCAAATTACACCTGTTTCCAGAGAAATAAACGGGGAACTGTTCACTCCCAGCTTGTAGAGAATCTACCAATTTCCTAGATATTTCCTAGTAGGCATAACGTGATCCCGACTAGAATTTTATCTATTTTCAGTCAAAATATACCAGTAATTTATCTGACAAATTAGTATTAGGCACCAACTTCAATAGGTTAAGACACTGAAATACAACATTTTCCTGAAAGGTGCAGCACACAGTCTGTAACAATTTTCTGCCACCTAATCCCTAAATTTTAGCCATTCTAAAATTAGCTGTCAGAGACTAAAATTAAAGTTTCTTAGTTTCACAGATCCTCCTGTTATACTATTAGTTACACAAAAACCCAACCAAGTAAAATGCAGAAGACTTTCTTGGAAAGAGAAAGACAAAAAAGAAAAGTAAAATGCTATTCCAGAAATTAGCAGCACAAACAAATCCAAGCATATTTGGAAATGGTAAGGCTCTTGATTTTAATGTTGGTTACTTTCTAGGATTAAACTGGCAGTTCTGTGCAGCACTGATTTGACACAATGGAGATAACTAGCAGTAAGGCACCTTTAACAGATAAGTCTGCCCCAAAACACAGTAGCAGTCATCTCTTTCAACCACCACATCAAAACCAGTTAAGTGCTAAAACTGATTTGGCTTGTGAGAAGATTTATCTTTTAACTTCTAGATTTTCATACTTCAAATAGTAAAGGGAAAATTCTCACAGCACTAACTGTGCTTCTGTCTGGAGAGTCAGTGTACTGCCATATTAAAAACTTCAATCCACTTTCAAAAGTTTACATTGGAAAATATGCATTAACAGTAGGCACTGTAGAAAACCTTGTACTAAACACAATACCCATATTTACTAAAATTATGTCAACCATGGAGACAAAGCTTAGAGTACATTCTCCAAACAGAACTGCATTGAGAATTTCATACTAGGACAACTAGCAAAGAGACTCTTAGAAAGAGTAATAACTTTAGTCCAATTAAAGGAATATATATCCACTGCTGGTAGAAGCTGAATCACATAGTTAAGAGTTTTTCCAGCTACAAAAACTCCTCTTACCCAGTCATGAACTGGTTAGAATATCCAGAGTTTTTACTGCTTGTAACAAAAATAGCAGTGTTTGAACAAACTTTCTACACATTTTAATAACATGTTTTGGTTTGAAAATTAAATTTTTACTATACCTTACTGACAAGCTTGGAACAAAGAACTGCATTTGAAACACCAGTTCTAACATGACACAATTTTGCTAAAACTGAGAGTTTAGAGGTACAGAAATTAAACACTGAAGTTTTAGCCAAAGACTGAAGTGGGAGACAAGCCTTTGTGGTAAATACTGATGTATTCATTCAGTTCAGAGATGTACACAGAACAACAGCCATCTGCGTGGTATTTTAAAACCGTGACTTCTGGTGACATCATAAACCATAAGCTGAAAGAATCCCGACACACTTGCACTCAGTACACAGAATTAAAGCTCTTGGTTATCTTTGATTTTTCAAGAACTTCAGTGCATTTTGCACCAATCCGACTTCAAGCATTTTGACATCAACTGTCTACAGAAGTGATGTTTCATTCATTTTAAGTATCATCAATTGATTATTCACATATGAAAAAACAGCACATTAAGGAGAAAAATGTTCAACGGCAGTTATTGGTAAATTACAGGAAAATCTGTATGTAAACATTAGATTATCTACTAGAAATTCATTATAGAACACTTCATTAAAACCAAATAAATACTAAATTTTACCTTTTCTGGATTGTAATATAAAGATTTCAAAGTGGTAAACAAGGGTGGGCAGCCTTTACTGAAGTTAACCCTCAGGAACTTATCCATTAGTTCTCTAAATTTTTCACCTAGGAACAAAAGTGTATTTGGTTATATGGCAGTGATTGCAAGTTCTGTATAAATATAAGCACTAACTGCTGTGCAACTCTGGATAAGAGAGTAACTGAGAAGCTGCAACTTTCACCTTTCCTGCTATTTAAGAATAAGGTGCTAATATACTCAGATTGAAAATAAAAGAAGAAAGATGAGAGCAAAATGTTTAAGTTGCTAGAGTTTAGGAGACTGCTGCTGAAGACATGGTAACGGTCCTAAAACCTGTAAAAGCTATTAAAAAGAGAAAGTATTAAGTGCTGGCTACAGAGGATGCAGCAAGGACTATTTAAACAAACACTGGGAAAAATTTTAATTATAATAATAGCTAAGCACTTGAATGGATTACCTTGGAGATCTTGTAAAAACTATTTCTAATGGTAGAGCTTTTATGATTAAATTAAACAAATGTGCGTTAGGAATAGTGCAGATATAAATTATCCTGCTTTGAGGAATAAGGATGGATGAAATGAACCCTCTACCTCTCTTCTAGTCCTAATTTTTTTAGGAGTAGGACATGACTCCTGATAAGAATACGATTGTTTCTGGAATCAGAAACAAAATAAAAGACTGGCTCTTAAAAGAATGAGCACCATATGAGAATCATCTTTATCAAAATATACTGGCAGAAAGTCAAAAACCTGATTTAATTATGTTTTCAGCTAATAATTACAGTACTTGGAGTATGCCACCTTCCTGAAAAACGCTGTTTCAAAAAGAAAAAAAAAAAAGCAGGGCTTCAAAGATGATATCCAGTCAGGAAAACATAGCTGGCTTTCACGCTCCTATGAGAAGTGGTTGTTTTCAGTTGTTTCAATTTGGGGTTTGGGGTTTTTTTTGTGTGTTTTGTTTTTATTTTGTTATTTAATTTTTTGTGTGTGGCTTTTCATTTGATTTGTTTGTGGTTTGTTATTTGTTTGTTTTGTTAATTGTGTATTGGTTTTGTTTGCTTTGCATAGGGCTGAAGCTGCTACACTTCACTGCCTGCTCTGTTGTGGACTTCTCAAAGTCTTTAAACAAGGAAGTAATACATTTCACATAATGCTGACATATACACATAAAACCACTGAAATAGACTTCAAGTCATTAACAATGCATTAACAATTCTGATTAACAGTGTTTTATAAATATTCAGAGAATGAAGATAACTACTGCTTTGTATATAACATTTTCTTACTTACTTTCAATTCTTAATTGTCCTACACTTACTGTTATCAGCACTATTACTAATAGAAGTACCTCATGTTCTTCCCTCACTGTACTAAAAACAAGCTGCTTTATATAGAAACTCCTACTACCTGTGGGTGGGGATCCATAACTGGACTAGATAAGCACAAGCTTTATTACAGGTGGATTAATTAAAACTTGTTTCCTTGCACTACAAGGAACTCCCCTGACAAATAAATTCCATCACAGCTACTCAGTTTCTTTTGTTTAATTATTTTAATTTATATTCTTGATGGAAGAATTGTAATTCAGAATTTAGGAGAGCGAGATTCCAGTTTCCATAAGGTACATATTTCTTTCTAGAAAGCAGAACAGCTTTAAAACAAAGTCTGAAAAATGCAAAACATACAGCTAGGCACCCACCTACGACATGAAGCCAAGCACAAAATTTAATCTCTGAGGCACAAGAAGAGACTCAACAACAGGAACAGTGAAACCAGAGCAGCATGAAGAAATCTGAAACAGTATGGCCAAACTCCAACCCCCCACCCTTGGTCAGTCTGAAAATTAATTATAACAGCCTGCCCCCATAAAGGCGGTTTCCAGCTCGATCACAGAGATGATCTATATCAAATACAAGGTTATTAGGACGCGCTGCAGGGCAAGGTCTGTCCTTTTAATACAAGTCTGCACTTCAGAGTATTTTAAGCCAATTCTGAACCAACCAGTACTGGTCGCAAGCAACTCGTCTGTGTGCCGTATTTCAATACAACTTCTGAAAGGATAAAGTCACTGGAAGAACTTAACTAGAACATAAAACTTAGCTATTAAAAATAATTTTTACTACATAGCACTACAGACTCACTTTGTGTTTCTATTCTTATTAAATTATAAGCACAAAGTTAGTTTACGTTGTAGATTTAAGTTCTAATGGTTCTACAACAAAGTATTGGAAAAGGGTAGATTTAGACTAGATGTTAGGAAGCAATTCTTTACTGTGAGGGTGATGAGACACTGGCACAGGTTGCCCAGGGAAGTTCTGGATGCCCCTCCCTGTAGGTGTTCAAGGACAGGTTGGACAGGGCTTTGGGCAACCTGGTCTGGTGGGAGGTGTCCCTGCCCACGGCAGGGGTTGGACTGGATGAGCTTTAAGGTCCCTTCCAACCTGAACCATTCCGTGATTCTGTATTCCGAATCAAGAAGAGATTGTGTTTTCTGGTACATCATCACCATTACAATAACTGTTAAGAAGTTTCCCAGTCCTATGCTACTGTGATTGTTATATTTACATCCGGTTTCAGTGTTTCTAAGTCAGCTTATACATATGTATATTAAAGACATATGAGGGAGGTATACACACACATCCCTATAATTCAAGTGTACTACACCAAATACCTTTTAACTTATGATTCTTAACGTGCATGATGCAGAAAAACTATGTACAAGAACTCCTGGAATCTATATACCATTCTGTACTGTAGTTTTATCAATACAAACATTACATAGTTCCTATCATGGTATTAGAGTGCATGAACACTTTCTATCAGCTCCTAAAACACAACACAATTTTGTCTATTCCAAGAGAAATGTGTATGTCTGACTTCTGCACATGTACAAATAGGTATTAAATGCACGTTCAACAGCCTGATGAAAACTTAAGGAAAAAGAAAAAAACTATTATGAAACAGATATGCAACTTGTTACCTGCAACAAAGTTTAAAGGTAATCTTCTAGGTGAAACTGCTCTGGGATGTCTTTTACTAACTTCTTCATAAATCTGAAGCCTCTCTTCTAAAGTGCCTATTATCAGTAAATATAATAGATATAAGTAACAGAGATAAAAATCTACTCTTCAAAATGTTGAGAATTAATTTAGCTAGACTTCTTACACAGTCTGGTTTTGAAACAATTTAAACATTTCAAGTTATTTCTTCCAGTTAATCATAAACATTAACTGTGTAAAACTGTGTACTAAAAACACAGTGTACATAAAATACACAACTACCAGCATTAATCACTGTAAGGATAAACTGCAAACAGAACAAGTACCATGCACATTCATTCATACAGTAATGGAGTTCAGCTTCATGCTGTGAAGACTCAGTCACACAATAATCTGACATTCACAGCTTTAATTAACTGTTCCTCACTATGCATGTTTCAGACATACTGTAAAACATTCAGAGAAATATATTGCACTTCTAAATCACAGACATACAAATAGCACACTGTACAAGTATGTTTTTATTATAGGTCCTCTGGTGGCAGCAAAAACAGGGCACAATACTACCAGTGTAAGCACTAAGCACCAGAACTTTTTATATCTTAATGCTTAAGTAGCTTTGTTTTTTGTTAAATGTTTTCTTCCCACTCCTCCCCTTTCCCCCATAATATGCTTTGGAGCTCCAATGTGGTTAAAACTTAAATAAAGCTAATCTGTTGCTTTGAAATGCCATTTTTACATAATTAAGACCAATTTTGCTTAAATATTTTTAAATTCATCAAGTAATTTATATAAAACTGAATGTACAGATCAAGACTATGACACAACGTACATTTATGAAATTAATCTGTTTTCCTTTCTTAAGGAAAACAATTTGTCATCTTCTCACTGAGCTCAGATGTTGGGGAAGGGGGGGGAATATGTAACCCAGTGGCTCCAAGAGATGTAGAGTTCTAAGAGTTATACCAAAATGATATTTGGATTGGAACTAAAGCATATAAAAGCCCTAATTGAAGTCACAAGTTGGAGCTCCAGAACTTACCATGGGGGAGGAATAGTCCTAAGACCACCTAAAAAATAAAGTAGCATTATTAGTTTTATAAATTAGTACAGTTTTAATCTACATAGGATTTTAATGTCAAATAAACTACTGGATTGGTTCTCTTAAAAACTACAAATTTCGTCGACATTTTATTATATCAAACAGAACAATCAAGTTTTTGGGTAATTTATTTTCTGAGACAATCATGGTATGTTCAACTCTATGGATGAGCTAGGAAAACCATTCAAAAGGTAATACTACTCTCTGTATAAATGTAACAAATGCTATCATTTTTATTTCCCAGTCACAAGCCATATTCCCAGACCTTACAAAACCCAACTGTAAAACTTCCTAGAAGAAAGCTGGTTGAGAAACATAATGCAGCTTTAATATCTACAAATAATATCCTTGTGGGCTTATGATTTATGATGTCATCAGAATTACTCCAATAAAACTTCCACTAATGAACAGTGAGGTAACAGTGAAAAGGAAACCATTCCTGTGTAAAGGTAAACACTTGGGAAAGTTACCACAGCAAAACACATAGTATATGTTGTTGCAATATTGTACTTAAAAATAAAAAAAACAAACAACCACCAACAACAAAAGTATCAATCAGCTATTTTCCTGGAAAGCCAGAACAGCAGTAATGTGAACTAGCACTGGAATAACAGATTTTAATACATTCATCACATTTTTCTTCGAAGAACAGTCAGCTTTGAAAAGCCATCTGAAATAGGTATTAGAGCATTTCTCTAAGTGCTTGTAGAAAAATGTACCTCCTGAACAAGTTTCAGAATGACAGTTTTACGCTGTGGTGTATGATAACAGTCTGACAATCAACTACTAGGTAGGAATTAATTGTCAAGCTCATGTGTAGGAAAAAAATGTTCTTTGTGTAAGCACGTTAGCAAATGCCACCTCTAACTCCAAGACAGAGACTTGCTGTTGGCGTTTTCACGCACACAAGTTTTTCAGTGAACACTTTCAAAATGGATCATATATTCAAGATAAGAAGGTACATAATTTTCTGCCAAGTAAAGCTTTTTCATGTAAAACAGTAACATAACAGGAGTTTTAAGAATATCCTGTACCATATGTGCTTTTAATGTATCTGTGTATCGTAACTTACTAGGTTGTAGGGCCTTTTCCAAGCCTTCATAGTAATACCAGTTTTCTGCATTGCGCTCAATTAATTCTTTGTATACTTCACCAGCTTCTTTCAGTCTTCCCAACTTTAGTAACATCTCTCCTAAAAATAATGCAGGAAAGAACTGTGAATATGTGAGAACACACCGATGGCTTGGGAATAAAGTTTACAAAATTAGATACATAAAGTTTGGCTTAATCATACATAGGTATTTAAAAAGAGGGTTTTAAAAAAGAAGGTTTGTTATTTTTTTTCCAAAGTCATTTACTGTGTATTAAAAGTACTGCTTGAAGGTACCAGTTGAGTGTATAGCACCTGTGAAAATAAAGATTATTTGTCTGCATGTCTGCATAATGTCTGCATCTGAGTATTTAAAATAGCTCTTGGGATTACCAAATAAGAAACTGCAACTCTTCCTTCTGGGACTCCAACACATGACTACACTGCTACTTCCCAGGCTGTTTATCTAACTACACCTATATATTTCATGCTAACCAACCAGTTTTCAACCAGTTAAAAATCACACTCATTTGCTGCTAGGTAAATTGTTCTATCAGGTTTTCAACCCCACGCTGCCAACCAGCAAGGACGCCACGGGGTACAATAAGCTGGGAGCAGACAAACTGGACAGCTGACCTGAACTGGCCAAAGGGATATTTCATGCCACGTAGTGCCATGCTTAGTGATAAAAATGGAGGGGAAGGAGTGTTTGGGCAGACAGTCATTGCTTGAGAGTAGCTGAGCATCAGTCTGCTTGTGGGAGGTGGCAAATGCTTGCCTTTGCATCATTGGGGATCATGGGTTAGTTTTTTTACTTGTTTGTTTGGTTGTTGTTATTAGGCTATATAATTGTACATATTCGGAACTCAGTATCAAATCCACAAAACTGCAGGTTATTTTTAATCAAAATAGTCAATTTCACTATTCACTTAACTAGGGCAATACAAGTACATTAGACATCTTACGAAGCAAACAAGAATTTGATACTTCAGTCAAAAAATATCAGTGTTTGTACTACAAACAGTTAATATCATTAAGAATAAACTGAGCTATACTAGCTCTGATTTACAGAAAGCTATTTCAGTATGGACCAATAAAATAAGCTCTGAAATCTCCTCTGTTCCTGTGCCAATCCAAGTTAAAACACCTGCATGCACTACCCACTTTGGTAGGGCAAGTTACTTGAACACAAAACTGTAGGTCTAGTGTTACCAGTTGCCCTACAGCAACTGGTTCCAATCAGTTAAAGATTTCACAGGTTTTTTCTTTTACTGCTTTATCATATCTGAAAATCCAGTAGTAGTTTAGAACAAAGTTGGTTGAAGAAATAAGAACGACTCACCTTTGATTTCTTCTACTATTAATTTATCACATATTTGCTTTTCATATGTCTCTATATGCTCTAAAGACTCCTGAAATAGATCTGCCTCTCTCATCACTTGATTTTGATATAAAATCAGTTCACTATATTCATAATCTATTTTATTAGGAGGAATCTGGGGGAACAAAAAGCAATAGGTTAGTTAACATTTACCTGTACCTAAACTGTATGCAATATTACAGAGCAAGATTCAGGCTACAGAATATATCAGGTCTATTTATATACTCATACAAACATTCAAAATACAAAACTCCTATTATTAACAACAAAATTTGTTTAATTCAGGATATAATTTGTTAGAGAGCAGTTTAAAAGAATTTCTGTATTTCTCTTTTCTCATTCTGGCAAGCTAATTAAAAACAAATCTTGTCTTTTCTCACACAATTCAATAAAATTAGCAAAAATCTTGATAATACTTTCCTTCTGAAGGACTCATGCTCCACAAAAATTCTGACCCAAGTACCACAGCAGATTACTAGGATATCACAATACTTATTTTCAGCATACCAACAATTTGGAACAAAGTATTTCCACGAGCAATGAACCACCCAAATACTGGCCATTGCTTGGCAACTTGAATTTTTCCAGACAGGAAACTTGCCCTCTTTCTTCTCTCTAACCAAGAGTTCTCTGTATTACACTTCAACCCCTTGGAAAGTACAGTGCACAAGCATGCAAAGTGTGTTTTCAAGCAACAGATCATTATTTTGATGTCTGCTGCCAGTTGCATACCCAGGGCTTATGTCTACAGGCAACAGTAGAAGTAGTGGGTCATCCACCTTGCACATCAGTCACTGAAACAGGATGAAGTTCAAAAGTATTCCTTTCTAGGAATAACCCCCTGAATTGTACTTGAGCAATTAAAAGTCTTGCCAGACTTGTAATAATAATTTCATACTAAATGCTCTTCACTAATATTCGCAGAACCTCCTTCAGTTATGAGTAAATTGCAAGAATTTCAGAGAGCAAGTGCCTAAGTCTGCAGACAACACCCAGATCTATACAGCAGTTTACTACTGGAAATACACTGTCTAAATAGATACTGTAGAAGGAGAAACAGTTACAGTTCACGTTTTTTTTAATAATAAAAATCGATAAGCAGCTGAGTTTAAGAAAACCACTAACATTTATCATTCCCATGACACTACCTCCTTTGTTTCTTCCTAAACAAGTAACACTTGGTAAAAGTCACTTTGGTCAGCAAACAGTTCACTATTACTCTTCTGTTCCCCAAGTAAAGCTTCTCCTCTGTCATCTTTAAAGAACCAAGCAATTTAATAAAAAACCCAAAACAGTAAAATGATTGAAGTCAACATTCATCTTAAAAGAATCTTTTCCCAAACCACTACTTCCAGCCCTTCCCTAAGAACAGATCAATTTTATGATATTTAAGTTTCAGTTTACACGCTCTCTGAATTTTTAGAGGCACCTTTTATAGCACTGTGAATTGTTATAAGGAGGATTTCCTTTTAGATAGAACTGTTTTGAAAGACAGCACAAATAAAATGAAGTAGTGTGTATCTGACAATGAATATCAGTTTTGGGGCTGAAAATAACAGCATTTAAGTATTTTTTCGTAACTGGCAACATATTATAGCAAATGATAGCTAGTGGAACAAGTCTAGACCTTGCACATACTAGAGTCAGCAGACAGCATGAAGACCTACCCATTTCTTAAAAGTATAATTCCTCTATCTGCAGCTCCACTTCTGCCTCCACCTTTGCCCAATTCTTAGTCATATTAAACACTAGAAGTCACTAATAAAAACTCATCTGGAAAGCATTTTTAACCACTTCAGAACTGACACATGCAACAGGTATTAAGCATTCAAGCATCTTCCCGCTTATCCTTACTGCAATACCACAGAACTGGAACTACAGAGCAGCAATTTGGTTCCCTCTCCTTTACTTCTCCATAAAAATATCCTCCACTCCAATACAACACACATCTAAATTCCACAAGTAGCATGGCTTTTTGGTGCATCATGAATTGGTTTTAGGCCTTCAAGACAGATTACCCCAACAATTTTTTTATATATATATATACACACACATATATATATACACACATATATATATATATACACACACACACATACATACATACATACATATATAAGACAAGAAACATATCAATTGACCTTCTTGTAGCTCTTCTGGCTTGGCAAGACTAACAAAATAAATTATAAGATGTCAAAAAATCAAATTAACTCCTTCTTATACAAACCACAAATCTACCAAAGTTACTGTGCTTACTGTCGCTCCATTTAAAAAGCCATTTTACAAATAGTTTTAAAGAAAAGTTCATTTTAAAAGAGATTTTGCAATCTCACCAGGTTAATGATGACTTAAACGTATAATTCATCAGAAGGCAAGCACATAACCCTACTACTTAATCTTAAAAAAAAATCAGATAGTCTTATAAAGATTAAGATATTTTAAGTTTTTTTCCATGCCACTGCTGTTGCTGCACACCACATCTTTACTCTTCCCTGCCCCCAGGAGAGTTACGATTCTTGCACATGAGGTGTCCACCTCTCTTGAACTCAGTTTTGCTGTTTCAGAATAAGTTTCCTCTTCTCCTGGACCAAGAAAAGAATCAACTTTACAACCGTAGATGCCCTAAGATAACTGTCACTGAAAGAATGTGACAAGATGCAGCCAAAACATACCTAAGAGCAGACCCCCAAAACTCCAGAGGTTTTCTGTCCATAACTGGTAATTGTGGGCCTGATGCAGAAGTTAGGAATAAAATAAAAATTAAGAATAAAAATTTTACTCTGGAAAAGAAGAAAGGAAAAATGGGACATACAACAGTAAAACAAATTGCATAGTTGTTCCCAAAACTTAAATCCTGTAGTGACACTTTGATGTTATTTAACGTGGACAGCACAGGCTGTTATATTTCCTGCAGTGATGTCTGTGATAATCTGTTTTTGAATGAAATATTGTGCATCTGGCTAACTTACAGCTTTCAGATGACAGGCAGTGTTGATCTGGATACACTTAGACAGAAAATTCACCATTTCTAATGATAACTTCACCATTAGAATAAAACTGTCAGTGAGAGTGATTTATCATTCGAGTTTGTTGCTCAACTTCCTGTCACTACTCATTCCTTTATTTTACCTCACTAAACAATCTTCCTAGCTATCTTTCTTCCCCACACCAGTATCGAAACTGTACTAGATTCACCTGGGCTTTTTCTGCTTACAGTAAACAAAGAGAAGCCCTGCCTTTCACTAGATAGCATTTTCTCTAGTCTTCTTATCTTCCCATATTGTTCTTTTCCTTTTCTAACTTCTTAAAAACAGGGTCACCACTAAGTCCTGAACTCTCTGTAATCTGTGCTCTATAAAGAAAATCTCTGCTTCTTCTCAGAAATAAGGGTGGTTTTGCTTTTCACCCATAAGCTTGCACTGAGGGACAATTTCACAGTAAAGCTATGTCAATCCAACTGCAGCTTGGACCAACAGGGGCAGCTCACTTCCCTCTATTATTCCCCTTCCTCTTTCCCCTCTCACCTCACAGTTGTTCAGTTCAGCCAATCAATCCCTCAAAAGAGCCATTATTTTTCTGTCACTTTGGCTTCCTGAGCCAGTCAACCAGTGCTGCACAAGGAAGCGGTGGGAGCACACAGGAAAAAGCCAGACCGCTGGTTTTGGCAACAGCTTGTAGCTAAGGTTAGCTCCACTATTTTGTAATACTGCATCTTCAGATACTCACCTACGGTCACTAAAGTGACAGCTCCTTGATCTTAGTTTTACTGCTTGGTTTTGGCTGCGTTAATTCACATTTAAACAGACAGAGCTGCCCAAGTAATCCAAGTAAATGAACATAATCACCCTGCATTACCATTACTTACCGGTTATTACAACAGCAGCATTTCACATAACATTACATTTGTGTCTTTAGTCATTAACAATAATGGTGAACAATGTCAGGCCTAACACAGATTGCCATAAAACTCCTTGACTACATCAGTCTGTTGAAGATTCCTATTCACTAGTGACCTGAAAATCCTTCAGTCTTTCAAGCCTTCTTTTAAACCCTCAACACCACCACCCTTTTAGCACAGTTGTGTGCAATGTTCTGTGAAGTGAGTCACAAAAGTTCATCTGAGTTGGAGTGAATAGCGTACAGAGCAAGAGGGGAGATGTGGAAGTGGCTGGGGCCGTACATGGGCCTGCCATCCTCAGGGAGCTCACACAGCAAAGCACAAGGCTCTCTACTTGCAAGAGAAATTAAACTAATATGGTCATACTTATTTTTAGTGTTTTATGGGAGAAAACACAATATACCACTTTACCAGTCTCCAAAAAGAGGGAAGGATTGACATGGCTAATTGTCTAGGAACTCATGTTGTCCAACATTTGTAGCGTATTTCTGTCCTTTAATGTTTAACCAGCTTTTCCACCACTTACCTGTGACTGATATAATACTGAGTAACAGTTAAATAGCTCATATTGTTCAAGTAGGAACCGTTTTCCTATTCATGAAAATTCCCTGATTATTTCCAGTTTTACTAAAAAATGGCATCAGAGCTTGAGATTTTCTCACGATTTCATTATTTTAGGGCGAGATTTAAGACTGCGATAACTTTCACAGCAACTGATTTAATATGTTCATCTGTGGCAGATGGTATGCAAAGCTGGCTTAGTCACTGGACTGAAGAGTGTATCATCATGACTGCCCTCAAACAAGCATCATATTTACACACAACCTTTTAGAAAAGACAACAACATTAACAGCATCACTTCCATTCTCACAAAGGCAAATATCACTGTTAAGCTCTCTTAGCCCTTAAGAGAGTCCCAGTGTCTTACAATTCATTTGCAGTTTTCCTATTACATATTACATATTCTTTCTAATTCCAACAGGCATTGACCTTAGCTTGGGTTCTGCCGACTCAATCGAGAACCATGACTTTTTGGCTGTCAGACACCCATAGAAGATGACCCAGTCTTCATTTAAAACTTTGTTTTCAGTTTTTATTCAACACTGAAGTAACAGCTCTTCTGAAATATCAAGCTATATATCCTTGGCTTGCAATATCCTTTGTTTGACCACAATACACGATCAAGACAAAAACTGCTCCCTGCTAGCAATTAATTTCCCTTTCCACAGTTAGTCCCATCCTGGCTGTGCAAGATGTCAAATGCAGTTCTCTGAAAGGATGCGAGGTTAAACTCAGTGATTTTAGCATTGTACCATTTGATTTACTTCAAAAAGTTTAACACCAAATCTTTACAAAGAATTTTCAACTACACTTTCACGGTAGTTTAACACCAAGCACGAATTTTAAGTGCATAGTATACAGATACATGCAGAACAACGAAAAGACTTCTTTTCATATTCTTTGTGGAGATGTAACAACATCCAGGCTATGGCAACAGAGAGGGCAAACAAGAACATCCAACACTAAATAGTATTTTCCTAAGTTTTACCTACTGTAAAGGGGTCATCACAGGTTTTCTACACCAGTCTACCCTTACATCCTCAACCCTTGCAGTCTACCGCAAGAGGAAAAAGTATTCCTGCATAGTTTGCATCAGCTGCTAAGCTTCTAGAAACCTTTTACTCAAAGCAGAAAGCTCCACAAATTACAAATTTCTTCCTAATTCTTAACTGGTTCCTGATTCTTTCTTTCAAATTATGAAGAGCAAATTCCTCAGATTCTGTCTCTTATACAGAAAGTGCCCTCCTTCCAGAATAGGAAGTCTTACCTGTTGGGTTTTCCTAAACTCTTCAAGTAGTTTTAAGGCCATATCATAATCTTTCAGTAAGTGGTATGCAATGGCATATCCAATCCAGGAAGCCCGCTGTGTGGGGCGCAGCTGAAGTAACTGGTATCTTGTTTCCTTCAGCAAAATAAAAACAATTTTAAAATAACAGAAATGTTAAAAGAGAGTTACTACATCTTTATCATAATTTACAACCAGTACAGCTAATATTTAAAAGTATCTTCTAAAAACCCTAGGCAGTTTTTGAAATTCTAAGAGCATAGGGAAAAGCACCATGTTTCAATCTCAAATTTGGGGGCTACATTCCAAATATAGAAGTCATGGCACAAAGCATAAAATTTATTTGTTGGGGCACAAAAGGTATCATTTTCAAAAGCAGGCCTTGAACTCCTACATTATTTCCAAAGAAAGAGCTTTGAAATCTCAGAGAGGGGTTTCCATTGAAAAGCATGAGCTCACTGCCACTGAAAGAACAGTCCCACTCTCCTTGCGCCCAGATACAATACTTAGTAACTGTGTGGTTTTATATATAATATAAAATACATACTTAATAATGCTGCAGTGCTTCTCAAACTCCCTTCCCGAGTCAAATCATACCCCTAAGTCAGTTACTCCCTTTCCTTGCATTAGGGACATTTGCATCCTCAGTGAAGGGAACCAACTAATGTCAAAACCCACAATCCAGTCCTCTACTTCACATGATACAAGATGGAAGAGGAGCAAGACTTTTCCCTTTCACAGCCAAATAATCTCAGCCATTTTGAAACCACTAACTCTCCTTTTAGAAAAATTTTAATTTTTTTATTTATGATAATATCAGTACTAGGATTCAACACATCAGTCTTCATGGGGCAAGTTTACCACAAACTAAAGAGTAACGCAATGGTGTATTTCTCACAAGAACACCATACCTTCAATCTATGCACCCAAAACACCATTTGCACTACTTCACAATAGCACAGGAAATACTCCCACTTGCTAAGCTTTAAGCTTTATTTTCATTATTTGAGTGAAAGAGCAGTTGTGGATCCTCGTGTAAAACTATAGTTCTCAATTCAAATTGTACAGAATAACTGTTTTTCTAGTTCTGGTCTCAACACTACATAGAGCTCTACTGCAATACGCTTTCCTAAACAAGGGCTTAAAACACACCTGAAATAACAAAAACAAGCAGCAATAGAATTTCTACCAGTAAAAGAGTTGATAATGGAATAGAGTAACAAGAGAACGCCAACAGCAATAAATGGGAATTCAAAGAGAATACTTACTCGATACCCTTCTAAATCCCGCATCTGAATCTGCAACAGAGAGAGATCTCTCAAGATCTGTAAATTATCTTTATCTAGTTTGAGTGCATTCCGGTAACACTTGATGGCTTCATCGTATTTCTTATCGGAACGTTGCAGAAGACCATAGACGTGCCAACCTAACGCACGTTAAGGAAGATACATTCATAGTTTTCACAAAGTGACTGCAGTGAATTTGTGTTAGACTAAACAATTTGATAGATCAGTACCCTTATAAATTAAGTTTCATTACTGCAGCCAGATTTTACTGACACGTTTAATATTAAATGCTTCCAAATAAGCAATAAAGTCTCATTTAAAAGACTTCTGTTGTCACATTCATAAGCCCTCTAAGCCCTCAAACTAAATGATCCAAACTCCACAGACCCTGATTTATCCCTAGAGATGTATTGTTTCAAACATACTATTGTAATTACAGTAGGAATTCTTACTCATAGAAGTGTCCCATTCTAACAGTATAATTGGTGTACAAGTTTCACTTTTCCTCACTTGCCTATCTTAACCTCAATTAGTCTCCAGATTTTACAGTAAGGGATAAACACAGAGCCACACTTTATTCATTGACAACAGGAAATCTTAGCACTTCTGTGCGTCAAAAGTCTTTGTCACATTCTCAGCATCTCAGATTTCCATCAGTAGTGTATCACTCTTCTCTCAAGCATCCTTTTTTATCCTGGAAAGATTCTGAATTCAAACCATGAAACCAAAGTATGTCATTGCAATGCATTAGACTGTGTGTGTTTACATTGGTCTCCAAGAATCACACTAAAAGAAAGATTACTTGACATAATCTTCCTTTTGCCACTCCAGCTTACTAGTAGCTTATTGAGGCAACATCTTCCACAGTAGTAAATCTGAACTTACTTAGATTTTCAAATTAGAAAATTTGAAAATTGGCTCAAAAGTTCTCTCAAGAAGCTCCACTATGTGCCCCTGAAGAAGTCAAAACACAGCAAATCTTGGGAAAAGAGATGTGCATCCTTTACCCACTTTCAGTTAAAATGGCACAAATAACTCATAGTGCTAATAACCAAAATATTCAAGTATTGAATTGAAACAGAAGTACTTATTCCCTCCAAAGATAGTAATTTCTGAACTTTGCATCTCAAAAAGCTGAGAATGAGCTATGCAGCACCACAGGCTTGGGGACGAGTGGC